TCTATCCATCTATCTATCTAGCTATCTATCTATCTATCTATCTATCTATCTATCTATCTATCTATCTATCTATCTCCTATCTTATATTATCGTTATCTATCATATCTTATGTTATCTTATCTTATCTTATCTTCCCACTAAGCCAAGGTTCTGCCTTTTAAAAAGCCTGCTATTTGTCTCTTGTGGGCAGTGGCGTCTGGTAGGATGGGCCTTTGCATCTGAAAAGCCCCTCCTGGGCTATTTCACCAAAAGTTACATCTGTTGACTACGATTAAAAGATAACATTAAACAAAACTAATTGGCCTAAAGCGAACAAAAAAATATTCCGAGAAAGTACCAGGTCAGGAAGACCCAATTGAAACTGCAAGAAAAACTCGACAAGCGATCTGATGTATTTGAGTGTAGCCTACATTAATATTTAATTTACTCAGACTCTGGTGGAAGGGAATTCGATGGAGTGTTCTGAGGCCCCGACTCAAGGTTTCTACAGACTGGATGTAATTTAACTTATGTTGACTTTATATTGAGACTGGGTTTTAGCCCATGATTATATTTCCCCTTTGTTTCAAAGGTAGAATAGCCACTAACTGGCTGTTAATACATTAAATCAGTTTTATGGTCACGGTGTCTTTTTAGGATAATAATAATAATAATAATAATAATAATAAGAAGAAGAAGAAGAAGAAGAAGAAGAAGAATAGCCACGCGACGCCACTGCTTATGGGCCATAAAACCCATCCACAAACAAAAACAAAAAAAAAAAAAAAAAAAAACCCCAAAAAAACCAAAAACCGTTTTCGTACCAGGAAAACCTACCTGCATCTGAACTCTGCTACTGTTTGTATCTGATAAAAAATGCTTTGGTCATTTGGGTCTTTTTTCCATCTTTATTTCTTTTCTGTTTTCATTTCGGAATATATGTATTGTTACAAGAATGCAAGTTTCCTGCTTTGAGGGCAGTTGATGGAATGGCTGAATAAGCATGTCTCTTCAACTGAGCACATTGGCCATTTCGCCCAATACTTTGTGCAAAGTAGCCTGGACAGATAAAGACCATGAGAAGTTATTTTGTGTAGCAACGCGCACGAGTTGCTTGGAAGTGTACGTAAAATTAAATTTGAACCAAATTGAGAGATTTTCAGCTGGCATTTGGTTATAAATGATCAACTTGAAAAGAATGGCCAAACCCAGTAACCTTAATGTTGTAACCTCAACACTAATTGAGCAATGTAATCTGTAGAGATTTAGTTGATAACAATAAATAGTATTTTATAGCGTTTGAAGTCATACTCGTAAATTCTTGAGATTTATAAAGTAAATACGGACAATGGAGAGGGTCTATAACGCATCCTTTACATCATATTGTGCTTAGAAAGTTTGTCTTTGAGTTTCATTAGCTGTTTAGTTATAAGGGATAGTGTCAGTGTCTTGTTGAATCTACATAAGTAATTATTCTATCATCGTTCAATACAAAATCAGATTTTTTTTTGCATATCAATGCATTTTGAGCGTATGCATAGTGCTTTTATGTTTTCCTTTTTTCTGAAGCAAATTGAATGACTGCAACTCTTTACAACGACTGTCTGCTGCTTGTACTTTTAGTTTCTATTCGAGTGAATGCCTCTACTCTATACATTTTAGAAAAAAATAAAGCATTTTGTTTTAGTTATTGCCTTCAGTTTCTGTGATATTATTATGTTTATCACATATATCTCACTTCCTCTAGTGGCTCGACTTTATGATGTGTATATATTCGTCAGATTAAGAACTAGAAATCAATAACTTTTTTTGGATAAGAAGTCATAATTTGAATTCCTGAATATAACACACTTTACTTTACTTGGTTTTAACTGTTATGGTCGGTTGTTTCCATGTAAAGGCGTTTTGAAAGTCGCAGTTAGTTAAATACTAATGTTTCTTCTTTGAAAGTTCCATTTTGAACAATGTCGCTTCTAAAATTAAATTGATAAATTTAAAAAATGACGAGCTGATGCATTGAAGCTTAAGTTGAAGAAGAATGGCTTTGAGCGTAGGGCGCAATCTTAGCTTACTGCACGCTTTAGAGTTACGATAGCTCCTTGCATCAAGGCTTTATTGCTGTAAGATTGTCAGCAGGACTCCAAAGGAATCATAGTCATAGATTCTTTTTTGTTTGGTATGGCTTTGATGCAGTGCCGCAGCGACAGCAGACTCTTAGTGCAGCAACCCCATCATCATTTTAGGAATTTTAAAACTTTTTTCGCTACTTTTTCGGTTGTATCATCCATGTGAAAAAGTCCCCCTGCATCTAAATGCAACGACGCGGAGTCTGCTTATCATTAACTTTCAGAAGCCAGCTTTTTGTCTTCCTTCTCATGCTCGCTTTGTTTACCCGTGTTATTGAAAGCGAAGCCGATGGATCTGATTCGAATCCCAAACTGGGCGTTCTTGAATTCGGGTCGTTTTGTGTAGTTTTCCAGACCCCCACCCCCACCCCTCCACCTCTCCACC